ATGACGTGCACAGCCTCAAGGATATATTTGTTTTTGGACATCAACTCGTTAAAGGAACTCATAATGACGTGACTGTGGTGAGCTATGAAGACAGAACGAATCGTGTCACAACGTGGGCTGAACAAAGAAACGGATGTAGCAGTCTTCTTCGTGGTGTGTTTAAGCGCGAAATATTTTTTTTATATATTATAATGTTAAAATATTTAATCTTTTTGTGTTATTTTATTTTCATTATAAAAAAAAACACACACACACATATATATATTACAAAAATACCACGATGCCATTGTTTTTGCTATATTTCGTTGTACTGTTTTAATAAGGTCACCTTAAAATTGTCTTCCTTTCCTATACCTAAGTTTAAGACAACTACAGGAAGAAATTCCACTCGGTGTTTTTACATTTCCTATACAATAAAACGAACCTATTCAACAAAGTAATCAAAATCACTTGTCATAGTTGCTCAGGTGTATGACATCAATAATTAGACGTGATACACGTTAGACTGCGAGATATATATATAGGTAACAGGCTATAAAAAAGCTTAGTCAAGCAATTAATTATATATGTATGCATAAACCCGCTTCATTCATTAAAACAATTCGCTTCTTGAATAACTGCAACTTACGAACGCTATACTATAGATCAGTGATTCTCAACCAGGGGTAAATTTACACCTTGGGGGTAAAAAATTACATGGCAGGGGATAAATAACTGATGTACCTGATGATATAATAATAATTCAATTAAATTTCATTTTGTAAAATGTGTGTGTGAGAGTGAGAGAGAGAATGCTAAGAATGTGTGTGTGTGTGCTATTTTTGTACAAAACCTGAATAATATTTTTTTTCTGACCTTCTTGTTTTTTCTGTCTCTTTATGATGGCTATAAATTTTTTGTGTGGAAGTAAGGGGGTAAATGGAGAAATACATCAAGCCGAGGGGGTTAATGATGGAGGGAAAGTTGAGAATATCTGCTATAGATGGTCCTTAACCAGCGTGCCGATCAATACTGTAAAATTCCAATTGTCTTACATTTATTTCTCTTCAGAACCAAAATAAAACGAAACCACGCGATTCCAGCAACTGGTAAGTTTGTTATTAACATAGTAAAAGTGTTTGGTTTTATAAGAAATCATTGTTGAGCAGTAACATGCAGAGGACATTAAAACTGACAAAAAAAGTGGCAATTTTCAAGCATCGCAAAGCAAAACTTCTTTTTGGTATGTGTGTGTGTGTGTGGTGGTGTTAGGGGAGGCTATGAGGACTGTGGGTTGCCTCTAGTACAAATACAGTTTGTTTGTTTGAAAGTTAAACACAAAGCTACACAATGAGATATCTGTGCTCTGCCTACCACGGTATCGACATACCGACATGCCACTGGAAGACTACAAATACAGTAAAAAGTTATATGTAGCAAAGAAACCCTATCATATTCTTATTCAGTTTGGCTTATAAACATTTTTAAAATTTAAAACTAAACGATGAATTTTTGCGTATTAACGCTTAATAGCATATCATAATTATTCCTTTTACTGTAAAGACCTACAAGTCCCAATGTGCCATTCACTTTAAAGCTGAAATATTTTTTCAATAATAACTTGCAGCAAACAAGGTGTGGAATCAGGTGTATCTTTTTGTAATTGTGGAAATTTTTTGTGACTGAGAAAAAAGCATTTTTGAGGCATAAGAGCAGAAAGACAATGGCTTGACACCCTCCTGTGCACGTCATTGATGTTGAGATAATTGATGAAAGTTATTTATGAACCTAATCTATCTTTTAATTAATATATTAATAAATTTCTGTTAGGTCGTAGAAAATTAAGTCTCCTTTGATGCTGCAGTATTAATTGTAAATTGAAAACGGTTAAGCCGCACTTTATATTATATTTATTTATTTAAGTAATTAGTCAGAGAATGCTTTTGTTATTGTTTTGTTTTCCGTTACTTGATCGGTCAGGTAAGTTGACTTTTACGTTAGTGGAGGTATTTCCATATGAGTGTCATTTGTAAAGGTACATAGGCCCACAATTTACAAAGTATACACGCCTATTAAGAAACGTTAAGGAGGAAATATACAAATTTGTTTTTGTTACCTGGATATGTTTCAGCATCGGGCTCTAGGTCATTTGTCGACCTGAAAGGGTCAGGTACAAACTAGACCTCTAAACAGTGAATTTGGTGCTGGTAGATTGTTTATTTTAATTTCTTTAAATCTTTTTCAGAGCCATGTTCATGAATTTTATCAAATAACTGGTATTTATTGAGTCTGGCCATAAGTAATTTAATTAGTTTATATTAGTCCTGTGTGTTGGATTTTGGATTAATATGTTTGCTATTTATGGTATGAAATAAGGACGAACAGGTGTGAAGTGTAGTTTGGTAATTGTTATTAGAAATGTGATACTGTCTTCGTTATTTTGTGGATTTTGGTATTCTTTGATCAAGTCAAAGACTGTCTTTTTAGCTGCATTAATTATGGGGTGTAAACATTGTTCTTAACTTGTATGTTAGGTTATGGTACTTGTATGTTGCGATTGTATTTGCTCTTGTTGTTTATGTATTTCTTGTACTTGTGGTTGTTTACGTGCTGCATTAGCATGGGCATATGATGTCGATTGTTTGTGTGTACATTCCGTCATTGGGGTTTTAGGTGTTGGTAATAGTGGTGTTTTTGTAACGTTTGCTTCTGGTTGCCGAGTGCCGCTTGTGATGGACTTGTTGTGTATATTGTATATCCGTATTTGGATGTCCTTATACTTAGGACATCCTACATAATTTGCACAATGTTGTTGACTACAGTTGCAGCATAAGGATTTATTTAGGATAGTCGGCATTTCTGTGTTCTCCCCCACATCTCACACAGCGTGGGTGAGCTTTACACGCTGCCGCAACATGACCATATCTCTGGCAGTTGTAGCACTGGGTAACTACTACTGCCGGTGTTTTTGTGTTTTCAACTGTGTATCTATGATACTATAGTGTGATACCGTTCAATACAATACTCTGTAAGTCTTATGTGTGGATACTTTAACCACATTTGTTGTTTTTTGTGTCTTTTTAGAGCATTCTTTCTGTACTGGTGAAGTGTATGTTATGATATGTTAGTTCAGCTTCGATTTCTTCTGTGGTAATACTTGCTTGAATATCCTTTATCACAAATGATTTTGGATGAGGTCGGGCACCTGGTATATGAATGTTTATGTTTTCTGGTGCAAAAGCATCTTCAGGACATTCCTGGAGTAGTCTGTTAAAATCCGCTGCATCGGTCCCTTTAATGAGAACACTAGGTAATTATTGAAGGATATAGTTATTGTTGTTTGTTACTCGATAATGTTAATGATATTGAAAGGTATTGTTAGAATATTGTATTTACTGGTTTTTGTGTTTTTAAATTAGGTTTTTTCTTTTCTGTGCAGTATTTCAATTGTTAAGTCTTGTAATTTTAGTGACCAACGCATCAGTCGACCAGTTAACTTCAGAGTTGTCTGTAACCATTTAAAGGCAGCGTGGTCAGTTACAACTGTACATTCTTCTCCATCTAGGTATATCTTAAATCTTTCTATAGCCCAGACTATGGCTAGACATTCTAACTCTGTAGTAGTATAGTTCTTTCTGCAGAGTTTAGTGTTCTACTGGCATATGCTATGACACCTTTCTGACACAGAAATGCTCCTAATCCAACACTTGAAATATCAGTATGCAAAAAAAAAATAAAAAAAATAGTGTTCACCTTTTCTTAGAAGTTGCAAGACAGGGGATTCACATAAAGCCTGCTTTAATTTCTGGAATGCATCCTCACACTGGTGAAATTCAAATGATTGATCAATTAATATTTAAGTTGGTTTAACTTAATTTTTCTCAGCTGTCACTCATAAGTGAACCTCAGAGCCTTGAGTATTCAAAAACCGTGACTAAACCTGAAAGAAGGCATCTGGTTACTTCGCTCATGTGGAAGACAGTCGAAAGAAGAAAAGGCAACCAATTACAGCAGGCAGTTGTGAATGGGCTAGGGTGTTTCTGAGTGATATTAGCAGAAAGTGGAACAACTTCCAAACCAATGACATAGTTTATTGGATAATTGGACCATCATCTACAACACAAGCAGACAACTATTATCCATCAATTTTGGCTTGCCACAACATTAGGGTATCTACTTCAAGACTGAATCAAATATCCACAGCCGCATATGGACGACTTGTTACTGCATAGCTGATTAAAAACAGATTCACAAGAATGGTATGTATGTATGGGAGATGCCCATTCTTCTTACAGTTAGGCACAAAACAGCTCATTTGCAATAGAACAAGAACACAACATTAATTTTACTGATCAGTCGCGCTTCACCTTGCAGCCAACTAATACCCATGCACCTATTTATAGAGAACCTGAAACCAGATATAATCTTATTTTCTTACAGAAACATGACACATATAATCGTGGTGGAAGTACGGTGTTGTCAAAAATAAACATTGATGGACGGACCAACTTCTACATTCTGCGAAATGGTACCACTGATGCCACACATTATAGAAACCCCACCCTTTACACAGACAAGTAACTCATAAACCAAAGATCACTTGAAAACAGCTCTTTCAGAAGAGTGGTAGAAGAAACCTAAAGATCTTGTTAAGACTAATTTTAGGCTTGAAACATCGAGGCCAGGCTGCCATTATTGTTTGTGGTGACCGTAATCTGTAGTGAAGTGAAATGTCATGAACTGTAAAGATGCAAAGCAACCTCTACTAATAACTTACTTTAACATTGGCACTACATAAAATAAATAATATTCTCACATTAAACTTAAAATGAACAGTTGTGTATACCTAACACTCGTGGTAATTAATAATGTTAATTTCATCATCACAAATATTCTTAACACCTAAGTTCCTCGTGATGGTTTAATCCTAGCAGTATCTAATTATAGCTTAGTTTAGGTTACAATATTATCCACTTACAATAAATTCACTTTCATTTAAAGTTACCTGTTGGGCTACTTACAGGCTGAAACTGGAGAAGGTCTCTTCCAGTTGGAGAATGGTAAAATGTGTAAGACTGCGTTGCTATTGGTAACTGCCACATTCAAGGTTCAATCTGCCAATGGGTCAGAAATTATTCAAAGTATATTGTAGAAAGAGACAGTCAATTAGGCTTACCACTGCATCTAGTACGTATCACACAACTAGAAACTGATCAAAATCTATTCCATCACAGGAGTGGCATCTTGGTTAACTCGCTAGTACACAAAGACGTTATTCGTTTCTGTTTTCCACCTCCAACGTCACGTGATAACCACTTCACTGACCGCCCAAACGACCTCTCCCATATCTCGTTTCGGATTACGCAACATGTACGCGTAAGTTTTAACATTTAAAATACGTTCAAAACGTTCCATAACTGTAACCCAGTGATGCAAGGTACACTGAAGGCGACTTGGCCGTAAACTAAATTCGGCCAGTAAACTGTTGCTTCCCAGAAAACATTTGAGCGTTCAACTAACGTGCTGCGCAGAAACCGAGGAAAAAAAGAGAGACAGCTTCGAGACTGAAACAACACTTGATGTTTCTTGAAGTGTAATGTTACGCGAAGATAGCAAATACTTATTAAATGTGAGATATATGTATACAGTAGTTTGTTTCACTATACATATTAAGACTTGTTATGGAGTCAAGCAGTTCCAAGTAGAGCTAGATAATATCACAGAGTGAAACAGCGCCATAGTGGTGTACCTAGCATGCAATGCTGGTGCGGTATTCATGTATACTGACGTCCAACACAAAGTTATAAGCAACCACAATACACAGCAGGTTTAGAAAAGGTTAAGTATTGAATAATTTCGAACATGAACAGTAAAGAACTGAAGCATACGCAAGTGAACAAATAAAGATAATCTTTATTCAGATGATGAATGTCTTCTGGCACTTTTTGACAGGTTTCGGATTTCTGTTGTGCTCCTAATTGTTGGGACAGAGAAAAGATTTTTTAACGTCTGCACAGTACAAAAACAAGCATCAAAATTTATATATCACGCTGTTAAATCAGAACGAAAATTCCTTATGCGTTATCTCATAATCACAGGTTAATTATGGCAATGAGCAATTTCAATATACGTCTAAGGGAGATGAGCCCACAACTCATACTAAATTGTACTAGTCTTTGTAACACCTCCCAAAATGGGTATTACTTCAGTTCAGAAGAAATCAGGACAATCAAGTATAAGTCAAACTGAATATTCATTGTGATATGTATCATCTGTCTGAACTGCATAGATGACTAGTACAAGTTAACAACCTCTCCAAGTCCTCTTTACAAGGGCGCCAACTCTCAACATGCAGAACACCTGCATGAAACTTTAGAATGCTTCTCCAAAACAGCTAAAAATAAAGTGTTTGACTCTGCTATAAAAGGGTACAAAAACTCATAAATTAAATGTTTATCATATACCGAAACATGAAGTACAAAATATAACCTAAAAATGTTTTCAACAGTATACTATATATAAACACGAAGTATCATGATAAATGATGAAATTTTCAATACAGAGAGCGCGAAATGTCAGAATAAAACGTTGACAACAATATTAGTAAGCGGAATATAAAATATAACAAATAATAAAAAATTGTTAATATTAAGTATGATGTATGCGTGGTAATGCCAAAAAATACAGAAACAAGGTAGGGATGAATCAGTTATCAGTGCTGTGCAAATAATACTATTTTTAGAAAAGTTATAAGTGCTGTGCAAATAATACTATTTTTAGAAAGTTATAAGTGCCATGCAAATAATACTATTTTTAGAAAAGTTACAAGTGTTGTGCAAATAATATTATTTTAGAAAGTTATAAGTGCCGTGCAAATAATACTATTTTTAGAAAAGTTATAAGTGCCGTGCAAATAATACTATTTTTAGAAAAGTTATAAGTGCCGTGTAAACAATATTATTTTTAGAAAAGTTATAAGTGCTGTGCAAATAATACTATTTTAGAAAAGTTACAAGTGTTGTGCAAATAATATTATTTTAGAAAGTTATAAGTGCTGTGCAAGTAATACTATTTTAGAAAGTTATAAGTGCTGTTCAAATAATACTATTTTTAGAAAAGTTATAAGTGCTGTTCAAATAATACTATTTTTAGAAAAGTTATAAGTGCCATGCGAATAATACTATTTTTAGAAAAGTTATAAGTGCCGTGCAAATAATACTATTTTTAGAAAAGTTATAAGTGCCGTGCAAATAATACTATTTTTAGAAAAGTTATAAGTGCCGTGTAAACAATATTATTTTTAGAAAAGTTATAAGTGCCGTGTAAATAATATTATTTTTAGAAAAGTTATAAGTGCTGTGCAAATAATACTATTTTTAGCAAAGTTATAAGTGCTCTTACCTTTTGCTATTTTATAAGAAACTACCTAACGAAAATAAGGTGTAAAGAAAGTGGAGTATTTTCACAGTCGAATTCAAATATCTACCAAATCAGTTAAAGAAGATGGTTTCGACTCATGAACTTTATGTACGTGATTCTTGGATACATTTCACATATTTTATAAAACAATCTATTTGTATTTCGATAGATAATTAGTTTTATTCCATGTATGGAATGTATGGACTTGTTACTGCTATAAGTAAAATATATAATAAGAAATAAAAAATTAAATAAAATGTAAGGATGGCAATGCCAAAAAGTACAGAAACAATGTAGGGTTATCCCTATATAAAACCATACAGAAATCCCTATATAAGTAGTCAGTAAGTACTGAGTCAATCTTACAAGCTTATGGTTATTAACAACTATAAGACTGTGTAGCACTATTTAGTTTAAATGCTTTTATTCAAACTTGAATTCATGCAGCTGACAGGAAATAGTGATTTTTCTATGGTTTTGAGTGTTCATCTCTACCTTGTTTCTGTCACTTTTTGGCATTGCCATCCCTACATCATACTTAATTTTTGCAATATTATTTTATTACTTGTGCTCCTCTTTTTTTAAATAATTTCTTTGAAGTAGGTTGGTAAGTGAACATTTGTTTTGTTTTTATAATTTACTGGTAATATATATATATTGTTAATATTATATCAGTTTTGTCAGTTTCTTCATTGCACTTGTAGAATTTAGAACTGTAAGTATTTAGTGCAACACAAATGTCAAAAAATAGGGATTATAAAAACGTTATTAGTTATTGCAAAAACTAATTGCAGTTCAAAAGAAAAACTGGATAAGGAAGTACATTATCTGAAAAATGTATTGGTGAAGAGGAATGATTATCCTATTAGTGTGGTGAGAAAATACTTAAAAACTGATACGTTGACAGAAAAAAGAAAAAGAAAATTTATTCGGATGATTTGGTTTATTGTGTAATTACTTATGTACCTGGCTTGTCAAATACGATTAAAAGACTATGGAAAGAAATGGAAATGAATTATAAGCTTCCAATTGTAGGTAAATTTATTTATTTTTACCAGGAAAAAAAGATTAATATAATCTTTAGAAATAAAATTA